GAGGCACCAAGGGCCAGGCGGAAAACTAGGGGGGATAGAGCCTTTGCTGTGGTGGGTCCAAACCTATGGAATGCTTTGCCGCTTTATATTAGGCAGGCCCCCTCGCTGTCTACTTTTAAGTCTTATTTGAAGACCTACTTGCATTCATTGGCGTTTGGCCAGGAATGAGACTCTGTCTGTAGTGTTAGTGTTTATTTTATTGTTTAAAGTTTTTTATGTGATGATTTTAGATTTGTATGATATGTTAAGTGCTTTGGTCAGCTGTGCTGTGGTAAAGCGCTATATAAATAAAGTTGAGTTGAGTGAGTTGAGATGAACATAGCTGTGACCTGAAGCCTATTTTTTTCAGAGCTGAACACATAAAACACTCCACAGAATCAAACAATGAAAGTCACTAGCTCTATCCAGAATGTAAAATTGAGAAATACATCAGGTAAACACAGTTAAAACACATGATATGTCATCTCTTACATCAGTCCTACTGAACATGGCAGTTGTTTTTAAGTGTGTGTAGTTTTCATTTGCTGTTTTACCATGGGTTGTATACACTGTACAGTGTAGCCATTAATCCCTTCACGGTCTACTGCAACCGAAATAACCTTGGAAATCAACTGGACTTGGATTTCTAGATTGAAGACGTTTCACCTCTCATCCAAGAGGCTTCATCAGTTCTGACTGACTGGTGTTGAGTCGGAGATATTTATCCCCCTCGGTGGTGTTTCAGTCCTTAGAAGGCCAACAATGTCCCTTAACGACTGAGTCGTTATAGCCCAGTATCGGTGAGAGTCGTTACCTGTCTTTGGATCGAGGGGTGTTCTATTTTTACAAAAATAGCTTCCTTAACACCTCTCTCAAACCAGCGATGTTCTCTGGAGAGGATCTGGACTTCACTGTCCTCAAAAGAGTGTCCTTTCTCCTTCTGGTGGAGGTGGACTGCTGACTCTGGTCCACTGGAGTTGGCCCTCCTGTGTTGAGCCATGCGTTTGTGAAGCGTCTGCTTAGTTTCACCAATGTACAAGTCGTTGAGAGGTGAAACGTCTTCGATCTAGAAATCCAAGTCCAGTTGATTTCCAAGGTTATTTCGGTTGCGGTTTACTATGACCTGGATGACTGAGAATCTGCACAGATATCTCACGGTCTACTGTTTGTTGGAGCTTTGGGCCATAGTTTTCCCTTTTCCAAATTGTATCTGTAGCCTCTTTGTGCATTTTTGTACACCGAGCGCTTCCAGTGCGTAACCGAACATGCCCGGTGTGGACACAAGCGCAAGCTGCCCACCGAGATGTTGCACGCTGTGCTTTCGGTGTAGACACTGTGTCAGTTACAAGTCGGAGACTGCGGCCAAAATGATGTGACATGAATGCAGCATCAGTTTATCTTTATTTGATTGTTAGGGCCGTGTGGTGTGTACCTGTGTGCAGGTCTCAGAGCAGGAATCTCAGGCTCTCTGTCCAGCAGCTCAGTGATCAGTCAGCTGTTGGTGAACGCCGACCCGTTCAGCTGTGACCCTGACAACATGTGAGTCTGTCTCTTCCTGCAACTAGATCATCGCAGAACATGTTGTAAATCAATCATCATTTTATGGTTTCACATCAATGTGATGGCAAATTAAAGATATTTGCAGATGAATATTATTTCACTAGAGATTTCCTTGCATTATATATTGGTATTGAAATGTAGATCTGCATTTACTGTGATGGAGCATTTTGTGTGCACCATGTTTAAGACGTGTAAATACGTTGTCAGTTATTATCTTTGTCTTGAAACTAACCCGGTGTATGTGTGTGTTCCTGTCAGGGACTGCTACACAGAGAAATGTGTCATGAACAACTACTTTGGTATTGGACTGGATGCAAAAATCTCTCTGGACTTCAACAACAAGAGAGATGAACATCCAGAGAAGTGCAGGTACGCCAATAACACAACTACACTCGTGTCTTCACGCTGAATAGAGAAAGACTCAGACGTTAATCGGCTGTCTGTTTGACTGTTCGTGCGTTCAGGAGTCGCACGAAGAACAGGATGTGGTACGGAGTGCTAGGAACCAAAGAGCTGCTGCACAGAACCTACAAGAACCTGGAACAGAGAGTTTTACTGGAGGTGAGATATACAGATCCAATACATCTGGAGCAAGTCAAGGTCTGAACTGCTAGTTCTGCTGGTTTTAGACTGTTTACAAGAATGAAATCCCTGTTACTTTGCTCAGCTGTACACATATTACAAAGCAAAGCTTCAGACTGGTTTCCTTCCAGAAACAACCAGAAGTGCATCCTGTTTGACGTATGTCTAGAACGTGACAGGAGTCCACCTGTGGCAAACTGAACTGATGGACAGAGTTTAGAAACGCACACATCTGTGTATCTAAGATGCCACAGTTCACCCTGCATGTCAGGAACTCCCTGTGGGATTTATGTGGGAGCTATACACAGTTTGGATCTGGCTCCACTTGGTAATAAACTGCTACCAATACATTTAATCACATTAAATCTACAACATATGATCCCATCATAGACCTTAATGTTCAGCTCTGATCTGATGTTTGTGTACCTGTTCATATTTGTAACATGTGTACACCACTTAGGCCACGTGCATACAAGCATGAACAGCATTTATATACTGAGTTTCAGGGTTTGTACATGTAGGAGGGGGGACAACTGAGAAACAGTTGGCAACAGGTGGGGGTTTGGAATTTAACCGGGTCATTACAGATGAACATTGAATCTGTCCTGTGTAAATTTGTCCCACTAGAAACGGACCAACATGACTATCACTCTGTGCCTGTGCAGTGGTAGACCCTAGATTATGGGCCGGTATGCCATTAGCGCTGCCCTGAGCCTGGCCACTTTATGCACAGTGTTAAAAGCCCATCTGTTTTCTAAGGCAGTGTCACTGGCCCTCAATGAGGTTTTGTCCCTTCATATTCCTCGGTGTCATTGTTTTGTATTGTTCTTTTATTTTTTTTATGCTCTCCTCCTCGCCTTCCACCCAGTTTTATCTTGATTTTAAGATTTGTTTTTTACAGTTCTGTGTTGATTTTTACTTCTATGAAGCTGTGAACTTTGTAACATGTGTTTGGAAAGGTGCTACATAAACAAAGATTGCTTTGCTTTACTTACAGTGGAGGATAAAGTGTGATATTTAGAGAAGGGACAATCTACCATGATGTTGACACATGTTAGAGCAGCGATACAACAGCAAATATGTACTGTACTGTTTGTGTGTTACAGTGTGACGGGCATCCCATCCCTCTCCCCAGTCTGCAGGGCATCGCTGTGTTGAACATCCCCAGTTATGCCGGAGGAACCAACTTTTGGGGAGGAACCAAAGAGGACGAGGTAAGAACTAAACCTTTGTCTCTCTCCCTGTCTGTCAGGTGGTCAGTGATGTCATGACATCACCTGTCGCCCTCTCTCTCTGTCAGACCTTCACTGCTCCATCCTTTGATGATAAGATTCTGGAGGTGGTGGCAGTGTTTGGCAGCATGCAGATGGCCATGTCCCGTGTCATCAACCTGCAGCACCACCGCATCGCGCAGGTGCGTCTGCCTGCATCTATCCGTCTGTCCAGTCAGTTGTCTGCCACTCTATAACTGCTTGTCTCTGTGTCTTAGTGTCGGACGGTGAAGATCACCATCCTGGGTGATGAAGGTGTCCCTGTTCAGGTGGACGGGGAAGCATGGATCCAGCCTCCAGGTTACATCAAGATCATCCACAAGAATCGAACTCAGACCCTAACCAGAGACCGAGTGAGTGCTACAGCCAAGCTCTACCCTCACTGATATAAACAGGGCTGACATAATAATGGAAGCACCTGTAACTCAGCAGCACAGTAAAGACTTCATCCTCCAGCTCTGGTAAACTGTTTGAATATTCAAACCGTCATGAAGGAGGGTTTGTTACAGGACTGTTAGGTTACTTACTTAGTTTGACAGGGCGGTCTTAATAAACAGACATCCAACAGCATATTTACTCTATATGAACTTAGCTAATGGCACGTTATGATGAAAATGGTTATTGTATTCACTGTAATAATAAGAATAGAAGAAGTGACCAAAGGTCTGTGTGATTAATCCATTAAATCTATAACCGTGCTTAGTTTCCTCCACAGTTCCTGTTATTATACTGATAATATTTCCACAGTCGGAGTTCGGTAGATGTCTGTGCTGGTAGACTCTCACAGAGTGCAGTAAAGTTACACGTTACCCTGAACGGTTACAAAGATGAGGAATCTAATGAGAGTCAACGTAACTTGACATTACAACAGCAGCTGTGACATTAATGTAACATTGCACTAACTTGGCTGACTGGGCCTTATTGTAGACGGTATGATAAGGCACACCTGTAGCGACAAGAAAGGTCGACGGTCCGTTTATTTATGGGCACTGGACTATGAGTCCGTCTCTGGTCAGAGGACATCACACTGCATCACAATGACTCCCATTGTTCTGTGTTTGTGTTTGAGGCGTTCGAGAGCACCCTGAAATCCTGGGAGGACAAACAGAAGTGTGAGTTTCCTCGGACCCCCCCCACCCATTCTCCCCTGTCCTCCCAGCCAGAGGTTGTCTCCGAGGAAGAGACATCACTCATCAGCGAGTTCGGCCAGGCAGCAGGAGTGCTCATACACAGGTAATGCAGGTTAACTTCAGGCTGGAGTAACCTGCTGTCTATTCAGTGCATCATTTAGTAGTTAACCAGAGTGAACAGCATGTGCTCAAAGGAATAAATGGAAACACAGCTCAGCGCAATATTGGGTTTGTTTTTAGAATGACAACACTTCTGGGTTTACTGTGTGTGTAAGATAGACGTCAGTACTACAGTAACCTTTATTATATAGATGCTGACATTGAGTTCTTTGCAAATAAATATGGCTTTATCAAGAATTGACTTAAAAACAGGAAATATTTTCCAAAATGCTGCTGAGTCACATAAAGATTTTTAATGCAACATCGATGCTAATTAATCTTCTGCTGGGTTCCTCAGTATCAACAGATAACAGAGGCAAGAAAAAGTAAATGAGCCGTTTAGAATCACCTGGTTTTCTACGTGATTTGGTCACAAAATGTGATGCGATCTTTGTCTAAGTCACAAGTATAGGCAGACACAATGTGCATAAGTTGATTACTACAGAAATATTAATAGTTTTTCATACCTTTATTGAATCCAGCCATTAAACAATTCATAGTGCTTGTGGAAAAAGTAAGTGAACCCTTGGATTGAATACCTATATGAGAAACTCCACTGGCAGCATTAACCTGAAACAGCTGGTTTCTGGAGCTGTGGATCAGACCTGCACAGTGTTCAGGAGTAATTTTGGACCATTGTTCCTCACAGAGCTGCTTCAGCTCAGACGTATTCCCAGGGTGTCCAGTGTGATCGGCTCTCTGAGCTCATTCCACAGCAGCTCTGTTGGGTTGACGAGCTCTGGAATCTGCCACTCCACATGGCAGGTGTTCTTGTTTTGAAGCCATTATAAATTGATTTTCTTTAATGTTTAGGGTCCCTGTCCTGCTGCGTCACCCAACTTCTACTGAGCGTCAGATGGTGGACAGCCACCCTGACATTATCCTGTAGGATGCCTTGATAAATCTGGGAATTCATTTTCCCTTCTACAATAGTAGCAGTCCAGGTCCAGAGGCAGCACAGCAGCCCCGCATCATGATGCTCCCTTCACTGTACTTTGCAGATGTTTTCACATCATGAGCACGACTCCACAGCGCTACTGGAAAAGTGTTTGGTCGACCGACAAAACTAGTTGAATTGTCTGGGAAGAACATGCACAACGCATGGAGTAAAGAGGGCACCGTATGCCAACATGAAAGCATCATCCAACATCTTCACACGCATTCGCATTACAAGAATGGTGTGTAAACACATTCACTAGTTTAGAGGTAAAACGGGGACTTCACTCATTGGTCTAGGGGTCACACAGGGGCTTCAGCGAGTGGATGCGGGCAAAGAAGTGAAGACATCACATTTCTGCAAGTCTGTGTTCTGCTTGTCCAACAACTGTTTGATAAACTGCTCATCCAGTGTCTGTTACTGGCTGACTGGTGCACTGTGGAGCGATCCTTCACATCCTCTGTTCAGCTGGGAGTGTGTGAGAGGAGATCAGCCCCTCCCTCCTCTAAATAGAGACCCACACGGTGGAAAAACAACTGGACGGTCGGTGTCAGCCTGGGAGGTTATGGCGAGCGAAGTACAGGGCATACCACTTGTTAAGTTTTGATATTGGAAATGCACATTTTATGACCAAATCGTGTAGAAAACAGTCATTCCAGAGGGTTCACATACTTTTTCTTGCCACTGTATTTCTACTTTGTGTGTGCTTTGTTTTAGCTTTATAACAGTGGAATACATTTATCAGACTTTGGGGGGATATTTACTAAACCTGCTGCAAATCACTGTCGAATGTGGAAAATGTTATGGCAGTGCAGTTTTTTAAAATTTAGCAGCAGATTTACTGACACTGATATAAATGAGCACAGCCACAGCGTAGAGGTTCATCTGAATGCACCTCTGCTTCACATCTGCTGCCTGGAGGCTGCTGCATACATGGACCGAGAGGGAGTGTAGAGGAAAGTTTAAGTTTACAGCGACCGAACTTCAATATGATCAACGGAATCGGCAAACATATTTTGGAGCTGCAGTCATGTCGCCTCCTGCCAGTCAAATCATTTTTTATTTTGTTCAGTAACTAAAGTATGGTTTGACCTGATAGCCTGTAAAAGTCCCTCACATTCTCCTGTGATGAGCTGTGCAATTTACAAATGCCCTCTCCCTTCTCAAGCATGTCCTTAACTCTGACGATGTCTCAGTTCAAAGTTCAAGGTCAAAGTGTTTATTTGTCATATGCACAGTTAGGAAACGTGTTTCCCTGTACAATGAAATTCTTACTTTGCCGTCCACATGAATGCCACAAAATACAAATGAAATATAAAGTAGATAAATAAGTAACACAAAATCTAAGGCACTTTAAGCAGCAGATGCAGCAATATAGTAAAAAATATATATATATAAGAACGCCTCAAAATACATAGTGCATGAGACCAAACGTGCAAATTCCTGCGGTACCACTTTCGTTTCACCAGAACAAAACCCCACCGTATGAACAGAGGCAGTTTTACTGTGTAGTGCCAGAAAATGAGCCACAAAACCTTGGTAACTATCCCCCAGCGTGAGGCCCTGGACTTTTTTCTCTCTGGCCCCTGTTGTTTGTACAATCCACAGAAACACTTACATTATCTAACCTAAGAAATGTTGGGAACTACTGACACAAACTGAAAATTAAGTTAAAAACACAGACCAACATTTTTTTAAGCAGATGAAGAAGAAAAGATCTTCTAAAAATACCCTAATAAAAGACAACAGTAGTAAGATAGTACTGATAACAGGGTGGCTCAGAGACCGATGCATGACTCACGCCTCTTAGTTTTAGACCTCTGTCATGTCACTGATTCTGCCGTTGTGAACCCTGTGGTATTGTGTTGTTTCAGTATTCGTGAGGTGGCTCAGTCTCACCACAGTATGGAGCAGGAACTGGCTCATGCTGTCAACGCCAGCTCCAAGGCCATGGATGTGGTCTACGCCAACTCCAAGACCTCTGGGGTACGACAGCTGTTGCTGTGAGGGCTACACAGGTGTCACTATGTGTTCAATATGCCTGTGTAAACAACAGGCCTATCTATGTCCAGGCTCTGAGCTGCAGTGCAGTGGTTCACATGGTTGGGAACGTCAAAGCTTTACTCGGCGAGACTGAACTGCTGCTGGTGGGAAAGATGTCCATGGTAACTGCGTCCTGTCTGTAAACCTTGTTCTCAGCCTTGAGCTTGCTGTTCAGAAACACTGAGCTGTGGACTTTAGTTTCTTTTAAGTTTTCCCATTCCTTAGAGTCTTCTGAAATATTTCTCCTTCAAGCTGTTATGCCCTGGCCCTGACAGTTGTCATCTCTGTGTGTCAGCAGCAGCTGGATCCTCCTCAGCAGGAGCAGCTGAATGCAGCTCTGAACTCTGTGGCTCAGCAGCTCCGTCGCCTGGCTGATGTTCCCTGGTTGTGTCTCATCGTCGACCCATCAGACCACGAGGTAAAACACCGCCTCTTAGTACGGGTAATGCTGGGAGTAATGGCATTGTCCAACTGACCCTGGCTCTCTATAATCATAGTTATCACTTAAGATATACAAACAAGATGTTGGCAAATTGTCGCATTGTAAGATTTCCACATATTATTGAAAACCTAGGATTGTTAATATATAGTCTGGCAAATGGCCTGGAAATGTTCTGTAAAAAACATCAAGGTGTTTTGAAAAAGTTTCATATGCATCACCAAATTACAGTAAGGTATTGATTGGAGGGTTATTATTATTATTATTATTATTGATCTATCAATTTTTATGGTGTTTACATGTTCATCATGTCACAGTCTAAAGAAAGATGAGTTTATTTCCTTGACAGTTGCAGTCCAGTTGTCTTTGTTGGCATTTGTCTGCACATACTTCCAGTTTTCATCCTGGGCCTTGAGTTTTTGCTTTAAGTGTCGTGGCTAGAGTGTGATGCCGACTACATTAATTCAGACAAAGCATCCCAATTTAAAGGATCATTTAATATTACAATTATTCTGAATAGAGTAGTATTTAAACAGATAATCTTGTAGTTAGGGAACAGAGAACAGAGACTCTCCTCCTGCAATGCGATAGATGAAGTATTAAATAAGAAGATGGTCAAAAGCGTTAGTCAGTCCAGTCAGTTGTTGTTGGTCACGAGTCAGTCTTTCTGTCAACCCACAGTCAGTTATTGTTCTCCCCTGCCCTCTGGGGCCGGGCCTACGGTAGACTTTTCACGGTAGCATGGTCATCCTCTCTTCTTCTCTTCTTCTTCTAACCCTTCAGGCTCACTCTTTTATCCACAGCTTTCCTTAGGCTGTTACTTCAATTTCTGAACTTAGCTTCCTGTCTCCAGTTTCGAGAGACAACACCCTGAGATGTACTTCAAAAACAGGGAACATCTTGACCAACTTATATAAGCTCATTGTTCAGCTCACATGAACTTAATGAACCCATAACCACTCA